CATGCGGTCCATGCCAATAAATGATGATAGTTAATAATCATATAATTGTATCTGTGGTTTTAAAAAACTGACCTTGGTATTAATTGCAATTATTTTTTAATTTAATACATATTGTCAAAAACTTTTAGATTATGGGTAATATTGTGGAAATAATTTTATCTAAAGAAATGTATTAATATTTCATTGAAAACAATGTAGCAGTAAATAAGATTTTACATACATGTATTTGAAGAGTTAAATTGTATACTATTTTTTTCTTTTTTTATTCATGAGTCTAAATATTTTATGTGAGGAAGTTTTTAGTAGGCTGTTTCTAAACTCATTTAAAATTGCGCCCATTTTAAATCTATGGGAATAATATTTTAAAGAAAAATGTGTTTAGCTTTGCTTTTAAAAATGTAGCATCTTTTTATCACCAAAGTCTTATAGGTGTCTAATATTTTTCTCTAAATGTTCATATAGCTTTCCAGCATGTTATATAAATATAGTATTTTCTGTGTACCAGGAAACAAATTAATACAATGCTATAAAATTATTTATTAGTCCTTTAATATTTTGAAGTGTAAAACTGAGGCAGATGATGTCGTTAAGGGAGTTAGTGCTGCATGTATGTGTGTTTTATATTAATGGAAATTTAACCTGCTATTTGCACATTAAATTTATGGCCAAATTGCTGGGGAATAGGGTTTGAAAAAAATATAAGTATGGTTTTGAAATTAAGCTTTGAAATTGCTTTTGAAAGTTTATCTTTGAAAAAGTTTCTTCATCTTACAGACACATTTATGAGATTTTAATTAAAAGAAAAATTTATCAAATGAAGGATTTTTCGTTTCATAAGTACAGGTAACGAAGGGTCAGGGCCTTAACTTGAGCACATAGCTTATATTGTGAGGATTACTGACATAGCATATGAGAATCACCAGTATTATGCAGAAGAATAGATGTTGTACTTTAATCTGTAGAGGCATAGGTTATATATTTTTGAAGCAGTAGAAGTAAAAAATTAGCAATGCCTTCGCCGGGACTCGAACCTGGACCTCTAAAATACGCACCTAGTGGGCAACCGGTTACACCGCCAAGGCATGCGTAAAAGAGGGAGAAAGTGCCTTATATACTCCCCCTTTTGTGACGACTGGGAATTAGGGAACCCAATCGCCAAATCCTGGCGGTGATTAATTATTGTCCACTACATTTTTAGTTCGGGCATCACTGCTGAATCATTCTTAGGTTATTCTGAAGTAGAAAGCATGAAAAATATGAATTGCTCTCACTCGAACCTGGACCTCTCGAATACGCGCCGAGTGTACTACCGTTACACCACGAAGGCTTGCGTAAAGGAGGGAGAACGTACCTTATAAATTTATGGGAACAATATATTTATTTCATTTTGCTCTAGCTTTTGATCTAGCTGTGATATTTCGAAGACTGGAGTAACTAGAATTGCTGTATTGTAAGGGGAAACCTGTGTCTAAACGCAAACTGGATATTGTCGAATCAAGAGACATTGAATGACTTATAAATATGCAGTGAAATACAAAAGTAATGTACTTAGATCAAGGTCACTGTAAAGAGAGTAAATAAAAGTTGTATTACTCGTATATGCAAATAAGAACAACAATGGAATTTTGAAGCATTTATTTTCTGTAACAAAATTGTTTCAAATAACAAATCTGGTATTTAAGCCTTCTATATATCAAAGCTTTCTCCATATTACTTATGAGTTCTTGGAAGAGAGCTAAGTACTTTTGTTTTAACTTCATTAATCACTTCCGTCTCTCACCTAGAAAGAGCATTCATGAAGCCGATTTATTATAGTATTTTATGTATTCAAGATAGGAATCACTGCCTCTTTCATTATTCACACAGTGTACCCAGTCGTCTGTAAATTGACATTGACATCGTTTTCTGAAAATTAGTCGGTGTATAGAATTCGATTCTGTTGTTGCTGCATCTTCTTTGAATACTCAATAATGCAGAGTAATGGTTTCAGTTGTCTTTCTAATAGAAGTTCAAAGTTTTAAAATTCCTTATTGATGATATTTGATGTCATTTCATTCTATGAATGTTTGACAAAAGTCATAGCATAAAAAAAAACTTCGAGATTTTTCATAGTCTGCAGTTTCATTTCCAGATCCTTCAACATTCTAAATGATCAAATGTTCTTCACGTCCTCAAACTGTAGTTCACTTGTATAGTTTGGTGGTGGGTGAGGACTTCACTGTTTCGGTTTCTGAAAGGAAGCTAAGTCCTTTCTGTATTGGAAGAGTATTCGTATGTGGTTTAAAGATGACTAGCAAATCTACTCACTTATAAAAAAAGTTATTTAAAAATTAGAAAAAGTTGGAAATTTTGAACAATCCATAAGGTTGATATTTTGCTTAATTTTTGTTGGGAACATAGGTTTTTTTTTTTTTTTTTTTTTTTTTTTTTTAAATCTGTATTCATTAAATTAGGATTTGATTGTGTTTGGAAATAGCTCAGGTAGTTTCACTTACTACCAAATACCTTTCTCACTTTGTAAAGCAAGGAGTTTGTTCATGCATAATTTCAGTTACAAAAGTCAATTTTTAATGTAAATTTAAAATAGGCATTTTTATTCATTCTTTTCAGCTGTGTAATCCTTTCAAGAATATTGCTTTTATGCTTTTCATTTAGGATATAAATATTTTAAGTGTCCAGTTTTTTATTTTTCTCGGGAAAAACCATATTTCTTTTAAAACTGTAGTTAACCACTTTTAATCATTTAGAATTTATTGTAGTATTAATTTATGTGCCATCATATTTGAATTTCTTTATGTCCCTTTCTTAGAAATTTGTCATTCTTAGATTTCATCTTAATTGAAATTGCTTAGTTATGTTTCATATTCTGTTGCTGTAAGTGATCTGTGAAAGAAAAAAAATAAATTTAAGATTAATTTTTCAAATTCTTTGTTTCTAAAATAGTTTAAATAATGCATAATTCTGGCTAATCGTATTTAAGTACATGATTCAAATCTTACCTGAATTTAAGTATGACTTTTTATGTGGTAAGAAATTTGGTAGTATATTTACACAATAAGCAAAATATAATCTTTTAGAAATGCACTTGTATTTGACAACAGCAGAATTTTCTACTTTAATTTTTTCAACGTTAAATCGGAAGCTTGGGTTTTTAATTCTGCTGTGGTTTTCTGAATACTGTTGTGTTTCAGATAGCTGGAAATTTCTAAGGACTGTATGATTTTTGTTCCACAAAATGGCCATCATACGAATATTTGGAAGAAAATACTTTGATGAAAAATATTGAAATAACCAGGGTAACATTCCTAATCCCTTTATATATATATATACAGTAAAGAAATTCAAATGTGGGAACTAGATAATTTTTAATGCAATTTAGTAATTTATTCTCTGCTACAGAAGCAGTTTCTCTCTTCCTCCATTTCCTTTTTTTTCCCTGACCGCGCATTAAGTAATATTGTTGAAAATATTCATCCTGTAATATGTTCATTTCTTGGTATGTATGACAACATTTTTATTATTCAATAATAATTAAATTATTATTATAAATATGAATGTGTATGTTTGATAACATCTTAATGATGTCTGTGAAGGTTACAGCAAATTTAGATTATTTAAACCTGTGTCGCCTTCGCTCAGTCAGTTCCCTGAAATTTGATATATTTTATAATGCTGATAAATAGTATGATTGATTTATTCCCCTAAAATGTTTGTTATACTTTTACGATTAAAAAAAATGAAAAATTTAGTTAGCGAGTTTTTTTTTTTTTTTTTTTTTTTTTTTTAAATATCTTTTGTAGCTTTTATGGATGAATTGGTGAAACTGTTTCTGTAGCAGATTAATCTTTTTCTTCTTTCTTGTGAGTAATTTATGCTTTTGTGTTTACTTATTATTCCTATATTTTAAACTGTTGTTTTTATTCTTATCCAAAAATTCAAATGTCCGTTTAGGTGTTATCATTAATTTTCTGTATTTTCATTTAAAAAAGAGAAAAAACAAGGAAATATACTATCCCAGAGAGAAATACATACGAAATTTTGTTCGGAAATGCAGAAGCGCAAAATTTCTCACAAAAGCATCCGTTATTATATTTGGTAGCTTTCAGAGTCTAGATTATGCTTAATTTATGTCAGTTTTATCTCTCAAGACCTTTATGCTTTTTGTAAGTGCCTTTTGTTCAGAGTCACTTATTTACTAATTAAACATATATCCTTGTGTTTCCTGCCATACTGCAGTTCCATATTATTAGCAACTCTGTTAGCGCTAGCTGTTCTTTAAGTGGTCCCGGAAATTTGCACATTGACTAATGTGAAAAATTCCCAAGGAAGAATTTGTTTTCCACTTTAACTGTTAAATACTAGATCTTTAATTTCACTTATTATGTACTAATTATTATATTGTTTAAAATCTAATTTTTTTATTAAGTACTTAGCATTTCATCATATAATTAGCAAAATGTGTGCAAAGTTATATATATTCTGTATGTGTGAGTAAAATAAAATGCAAGTAAAAATAGTTTTAGCTATAAGTGTAAAATTGAGTTAAAGCTCTCCAGGTCTAATAAAATGTACTATAAGAGGCATTCTTTGCAGTATTCGGTATAGTTCTTAAATGTACCAAAAGTGAAATTCCGTGCATTATTTATTGTTGTACTTGTTTGAATAATTTAATTTCTTTCTTAAAGTTGTCGTTCATTTGCATCATATTTTATCATGCATACAGTTATGAACTTTTTTTAGTTTTCATATATTTGTAACTGTAATTATTTCAGTTTAACAGTACCAATATTTAAAACATGAGCAATTAATGCTTGAATGAATCATTTGAGAGGTGAATACCGTTTCTATGTGTGTTTTTAGGCATCTGTGATTATGTGGCAAAAGTAAGTAGTCCATCCGATTTAAGATTACATAGTATTCCAGAAGAAAAGAGCAAAAAATAATGCTTGGCATAACATTCAACATTTCAATCTTATCTATGGACATTTCTTTCCTTTTAGGGCAGCCTTACGAGGTTAGAATAAAGAAAACTGGAAGCTTTCCATATGAAAAAAATATGATATTTAAAGTAAGTGTGTGATTTTTTTTTTCAGTTATTTGAAGGAATTTGTTTTTTATGGTCTGAACAAAATTCTTTAATAAAATGTATGTAAGATAGGTCTTGATAATTTACTGAATTTCTAGAGTTTTCCACAGATGTTAAATTATTTATTAAAGAAAACAATAAATGATATTTTCCTTTAGCTATGAATTTCAAAGTATAAATTTTGAAAGTACTGAGGTTAGATTGCTAGTTTTACTTTTAAGTGAATGGCAGATATACAAAATTGGGCATATTAAAGTTACAGAATTTTGCATATACTTTAAACTATTAAAGTAAATTGACTTTTTTCCCTTACCTATGAATTTTACTATATAATTTTGAAAATACTGAGAGTATGTTGCTAGTTATGTCTTCTAATGAATGGTTGGATTGTAAAATTGGCCACATTTCATGGAAATACTTAATACAAATGCTGCCAGCAATTCCATAAAAATCATATGTTATTTAAACAAATGCCCATTGTACAGAAAGTCAGTTTTTCACATTTATGTACTTATAATCGAATTTTGATTTGAATTTTGAAAACAATTGTACTATTTTGAGTCATCTCAAATTGGCGCAATGCTTTGGAATGACATTTTGTTATAAGCAACAAGAAGTCTCCAAATTTTAGGTTAGTCCAATTTGAAAATATTTGAACTCAACTGTGTAAGAATTTAATCTGTGAAAACATAAAATGAATAACCATTTCTAATGATTTTGATACTTACAGTTGTGTATCCTTCATTCAAGTGGATATGAAAATTTTGCATTCATGTCCATTTACTGTCTCAGCTAATTAATATTTCTTCATATTTATTAACTGCATCAATGTTTCGCATAATCTTGAAAATTTCTGGTTAATTCAAATGCTAATCTTCCTATAATCAATAAAGTTTGGCATTTATTTTTTTCTCTGCTCCTGCTTAATAATATATGATTTTCTCTGAAATAAAAATAGGGTTAATGTGACCAAATGAATCTTGAAAATAATGTATTAAATATTCAAATTATTTTATCTACTTAATTTGAAATGAATAGGTGTTATAAATTTCATGTACAGGTATGCTTTTATATACATTTATTTGAATGGCTGAGTATTAATCATCTGTAATGCTTTAAAGTAGCCTATGAAAGTTCTGAAAAGTTAACCCTCTGGCATATGCAACAGCTGTCAAGTGGTCTGAGACATTGTCGCTGTTTCTTATTAATTTAAATATGTGTATTAAGTTTCTTTCTATGAGGAAGCAATGGTTAATGGTTTTTCTCTTTCCAATTAAAAATGGAATGTTGTTGCTTGAATAATAATAACAATAATGTTGCTTTTTTGCACTTAAAAAATTTTAATATCGTGCATTTCACAGTGCTTTGAATTATGGAATTTCAAATAAGAAGCTGTTGCCAGAAATTTTTATTCCAAAAATTTGCTTTTTTTAAATTCTTTATTTAAATTTTTCTAAATGTGTGTAAACACCCTATGTATATATGGATTAGAGGCTAACTAAAATAAGGTAGAGATAGCAAGATGGATGGATGTAAATTATTTTGTGGTACGTAGATTAAAGGAACAGTTCGTAATTCTTCTGGTAGCATGTCAGAAGTATAAATAATATTTGGGACTTCTAATCTGGTAGATGAGCAGTTTCTTTGCTTACCTGTTTAAGAAAACAAACAGAACAGCCATCCCAGCCCATATTTCTCAGGAGCTATAAAATTATCGATGTCAGTTTTAATTTCGTGCAGGAAATTTCATGAAAGGTGCCATGTTCAAATTCACTTTGAAGAATGATTTCTGTTGTGCTTTAGATATGAAAAGAACAAAGACATGCTATCACTCTTAATCTATGAGAGATATCCTTATGGTGAAAATAATGTTACAGTTTAAAGTTATATCTCACTAGGTAAGCTTTCTAAGGAAAATATGATTCTTAATGAACGTATTAATGTTGTAATGGTCCTTATTTTACCTTAATGCAATGTAACAAGACATGCATTTCTTTAGAATGCTCACATCACTATACTAGCTGGTAAAAAAAATATCGTTGAGCCGACATCATCATGCAGTTTAACTGCTCATCTAGATCTGCTGACCGAAAATCTCCTCAAGCATATATGGAATGTTCAATATGAGTTATTACTGTCAGTTTCTCATCTCAGATAATAAAGAATTTAAACAGACAATGTGACAATGTAGAAGACAATGTGACGAGTTTAGCATTTTTATCAACAGAATAAAATACAGTAGTTATAAGGCAATTTAACTTAATATTGAGATATTTTGTCCCTTTAACAAGTTTTTGCTGCCTTTTGTATGTAAATTTTTATAAGATACACATGCTCGACATAAAAGTTTTTAAAAAATATTTGTAGTTTGTGATGTAATAGATTATCACAAAATTTGTATTACCATTCAAAATCTGTTTGTTATGATTTTTCTTTGAACTGTTTTATTCTATTTGGTATGAGTGTAATGTCTCGTATTTTTAGAATATCTGTTTCCTGAAATAAGCAATACTTTTTATTAATTCTATTTCCCTTAATATTATAAATTATTTTAACAATTCGAAATTCCAGTCTTGTATATCTTTTTTAATATCTTTCAGAGTGTCGTCCATGTAGGTTTTCAAGAACGGCGTTTACAGTTTATGGAAAAGGAGCAAATAAAGGAATGGCAGGCTCAAAGACCTGGTGAAAGAATTCTTGAAATTGGTATGGTCCTTTATGTAATTTTGTGTGCGTGTGTGTTTTTTAGATATATGCTTAAATTCTATACAAGTACATATTTGCCAAAAATGAATTTAAATGGAAGGACAGTACTGCCTTATATTGTAAAATGCTAAAGTGTTTTCAAGTGTTGAATTTTAAGACTGAAAAATAGAAAAAATAAAACTATATGCAGAGACATGTAAATCTATAACAGCAACATATAATGTTTTATTTGTATGCAAAAGTTTTATATTTAAATGTAAATTTAATCAAGTCACAGAATGCATTTAAGTAATCTTCAGAAAACAATTTAAAGTCATTCAGCATAGGCATATGTGTCCAGAATAGCCAGTAAATATTCTACTTTCACATGTCATCCACCATCATGTTTACATGAATGTTGTGAGTCATAAGTTCTCTTCATTCATGTTAGCCATGAGTATGGTACACATATTTCTTCAGTTTATGTTTACAGAAAATATCATATGGCATGATAGTTGATGGTCTAACTGGTTAAGACATAAATTGACTCTGGTTAATCCATTGGTCTAGAAATCCCTTTTCAAGTAATCTGCATGCTTCATTTCTGCAACGTTAGAGTGCAATTTTGCTGGGTTTTTTTAGTATGGTGGAGATGTGAATAGACATGGTTTTGAGCCCAGTTGGGTAATTCATAGTGCTCATTGATGGAGCTAAGAGTATTTCCAGTTTTTTTTTTTTTTTTTTTTTCACTGATATGATTATAAAACAACCATACCGTACATTAATTTTGGCACTGTCTCTGATGTCTTTTTCTCTGTCATGTGAGGTTTCTAATGGGTAAATTCTTAAAATTTGTTTATTAAATTTTCCAGGACATGAAATGTTTCTTCAACAGAAAATGTGATTGCTGGTGCAAAATTCCTTGTGTACCACTGCAATTTTGCATAACTACATGCAAAATTTGTGCTTGTAGGCTGACATCTTTAGTTGTCTTCAAAGGACATGTGCACAGTTAAATTAGACAATTCCAGTTTACTTGCTGTAGCTTGTTTTAAGCTGTGTGAACTAAAAAGAGGCCTTCAGTTTGTGGTTGACTTCAGTTTTCCCCATGCGTAAGCTGAATATTAGCCAGTTTTCCTAAGAAACTCCACCACAAGGCATCCCTCCTTTTATGCAGATAGCCCTAGCATGCTTTGTCATTATCAAATAAAATAAAGGATCCCAAACCTAAAGACACACTAGACTGCTTTGTAACTTTATGATGCAAAATTCTTCCTCTTTACTTAAAATGTGTAGTCTCAAGCTTCTGTTTATGTTCGTGATGTGCATCTGTAACTCATTGGAAATTTTTTTTTTTACTTGTGTGTCCGAAATCATTTCTATAAGCCATTCCACACAATGCTTTCTTTTAGATTCATGATGACTGACCGAGTTAGTAGCATTAATTAGATTTTTTTAACAAGTACCATGTACTGCCATCTTCCAATAATTGAAGGAACTTTTAAATAACCCAATAATTAAAGGATACTTATATTGTAATGTGAAACCTTCAAATGTTTCCTGTGACTTCCGATTGAATTTTCTTTACATATAAGACTGCAACCAAAAATGAAAAAAGAAAAAAAAAATATGACTATTGGAAGGTATTTTATGTCTCTCATGGACCTGTAGACATTTCTTACTATGATTCCTGCATTGTGTATTGATTTGTGATTGGAAATATTAAGATAAAGAAATAGATAACTTTGAACCTCTGCTGTGTTACATTTTGTTATACACTGCACTTATTTTTCTTGTGTCATTTTGAGTATTTTTAAAGGTAATTTTCTTTTCTCTTCACATTTAATGTTCAATTAATTTGCCAGTCATATTTGTTTTATGCATTTGTTATAAATGTTGTGTTATATTTTTTGTAATGTAAGAATGATATGCCTCCCAACTTGTTTTTTCAATCATTTACATAACATTCAAATCCTGTTCTTTTATCAAAGTATGTCAATTGTTGTGGTTCAGTCAAATATTTGATAAATCAATTTTCCACAAATGATAAATAAGTTACATTAAATTCTGTGCACCAATAAACCAACCACTGACCAAGAGATTAAAGCTGAAAAATAATAGTAGTTTGCCCAGATTCTTTTTTTCCTGCAGTTGAAAAGGCTGGCTTCATAAGCTCTTTTTTTTTTCCTTTCTCCACATTAATGTAAATATGGGCCAGTTTTTTAGGAGTCTGCTGCAGAGTCTGCCCTTCTCAAAGCCTTGGTATGTTTTACCATATCAAATTTGTCCAAGCAAATCTGCTTAGCAGCATGTGAAATACCTAGAAAAGTTTTTGTTGGTAGCTTCTTATGTTTTTATGGGGAAATTATCATTCCTGCACGTTGTTCCACATCTAGGAAGTGAATTTTTTGTTTATATACTAAACTGTTGAAAGTGTGGTATTAGAGGTAAAAACTATTAGTGGTGTTAAGTTGTATTTGCTGAAAAACATGATTGCCGTATGTTTTTATATGCACATAAATCATCATTTTCTGTTGCTAAGAGAAACTTCAAACAAGATGTGGAGTTATTATCATCCTGAAATATTGCACTGGGTAGAAATATCTGTATCATCAAAATGAGACCAAAGATAACTATATCAATTTTTCTTTTGATATATATTGCATTTCATAGTTCCTGCATTCATTTTTCTTTAATATGCTTTAATATAATTTGATCTTTTCTTTAAAAATATAGACCTTCCTCTTTCATATGGCATCTTGGAAGCCACTTGTTGTCCTTTGAATGTCAATGTGTGCGAGTTTTTATGGGACTGCAGTCGAGATGTTGGTGTATTTCTAAAGGTATATCAAAGTGGATATAATAGCTTGTATTTAAAATATACATGGAAACTTTATGTTATATTCTTTTCTGTCTTAGTTGAATCATAGTAGATTTAGTAAGTTTTTTTATTCTAGTTCAAAAGTCTTAAATTGTTTGAGGATTTAAAATGTATAGCATTTTATAAAAAAATCCCTAAGTTAATAACAATTTGTTAAACATTTCCAAACAGTGTTAATTATACAAATAAATATAATAAAGTCCAAAATCGATAAACTATGGAATATTTACATTGGTTGCATCTTTGAATTGCCAATGAAACTGGAACATTAAAAAATGAAGAGCAAACAATTTGTGACATTTTTCTGTCATGATACTAGATTATAATTTTAGTTTTGGAATTTGAGAAGAAACTTTTATGGGCATTCTTTATGTATTGTAAAAATTCTAGTATGTTTTGTAATATTTTTAAAGTTAATTTAAGATGCTAATGCGATGAAGACATGGGACAAACAGAGCCTTGAATGATTCTTTAAAAATTTATATCCTTTTAACCATTCATCCATATTAAATTTCAGATTTTTTTTTTTTTTTTTTTTTTTGCATATTTTTATTTTTAAAAAGTTAGACTTGAATGAATTTAATTAACTCAGTGTATCCGTCATCTACTGCTTTCTGTTATTAAATTGACTTTGAGACGAAAATATTTATTATCTTCTGTCGACTTTTTTCTATATACAAGTGCACTCATTTCATATATTACTTAAAAATTTTGTTAGTCCTAGTGAGTGCAGAAAAGACTTAGCCTATGAACAGAATATTATTAAATCTTCCTTGAAATTGCTGCAAATATTTTCATGTACTTTAATACTGTGATATTGTGCTGCTAATAACTCTATGCATCTAGCCACTTACAAGAACAAACTGATTTTTACTTATTCTGAAAGTATATATCGAATTTTTTAATTACAAATTTAGAAATAACTTTTATATTATTTAATAATGAAAATTTTTGTTGACATTAAAAAGTGAAATAGGCTTAAACTATACCTTCTATTCTTTTGTTTCTTAAAAGCCCTTAATTGCATTGCAGTGTGTAAGAGTAATTATTTCCATCTTTACTAAGACCTTTTTCATTTGTGCCTACTTGGGTAAAACTACTGAACTCTGGTTTGTCTTAAGTGAAATACCAGTTTACCTTGAGGTTTTATAACCTCCCCCAACAATATAGTTACACAGAAAAAATCCTTTGTGAATGCATCAGTAATAATCAAGAGACTCAAATACTTTTGTTATTTGTTTTATTAAAGTAACTAGTCTAACTGCTCATCTTCCTGAATCCGTAAAATTGCTGCAGATAAAAATTTTTATAACTGCAGCTTCATAAATAAGGAAGATTAAAATTAGCACAAAAAAACACATTTAAGATGCTGTATAAAACTGTTTAAAGGTACTAGCATAATTATTTATATCATAGTGTATAAAAAAACTTCCTAATACTCTTTAATTAATACATTATTTAACAAGATTATACGTATCTGTTCCCTATAAATCGATATTTTAAATGCAAATAGGGTATTATTAAAAAAAAAGGCTTACAAATAGTATTTTATGGATTTATTTCTTAATGTAATTATTAATTACGTATGGAAATTTTACTTCGATGCCAATTAAACTGAATCTGTAACATATGCAGCTGTAAGTAAAATTAATGCAATCACATATATCATCCTCTTTTGGGAAAGGCAGAATTTTCGACTGTAATGGATAGTTTCAGTTTTCTTTTTCTTTGAATGTTATTTACTGTTAGTGTCAATGGTATGTACTGCCAGTTTATTAACTTCTTATCATTCTGTTGGTGGATTTTTAGTTATAATTATTTTTGGTAGTAATCAGTAATTGCACAGAGCGTATATCTGAACATACCCAAAATATATACACATATTGCTTTACTCATGTTTACAGTAACATAGCTTTAGATCTGATCTCAGAGTAATCTTTCTAATTTATTTACCAGAAATATTTTATTTGGAATTGTAATTACTGCAAGTTCTTTGGAGCTGAATGGATAGTGTCATAGCATTTACATAAGCCTGTTTAGTTGGAAATTGTTTATTGTGTACTAAAAATTATCATTTCAGAAAAAATAAAGATATTGAATTAAACAGAACCTTAAATACTTCTTCAAAAATTTATACACATTCACCATTCATCCATGTAAATTATAATATAAATTGTAATTTATAATATAAATTGAACATTGTATTGTTCTCTCTCTTTTAAAGTGACTCTCGTTTTTTTATTTTAAGATGTCATATGTCTAAATGATGTCAACTTTTTTATCTGTGTTACACTATCCTCTGTTATTGAATGACTCTGAGGTGTTATGTTTTTCACTGTCTATTGATTTTATTCTGCCTATAATTTCACTCAGTTCATATTTCATTTCCGAACTTTAGCATTCCTTAGTAAGTAGAGTAAGGCATAAACCATCAGTAGAAATTATAATAAGTTTACTTCTGAAATCACTGTATTTTCATTGGCTTTTAATATTCTTATGCTATGCTGCTCTATAACCATACATTTATATTAGTATTATTTATTACTTCATTACAGAAAACTAAATTTGGAATGTTCTGAAGATACTAAATTTGAATTTACTTTTTAACCAGGCATTTCCAACCCTTTTTGTTTCGCACACTTAACGAAGTATTTTGGGGACTTGCAATACAGATGTTTGGATTTGAAATTATTGTTATGGCTATGCTATTAATGCTAAGCCTTTGTTTAAAGTGTTCCAAAGTTTGTCGAGATGTGATTTTGTAATAGGCTAGCCATTGCTGATGAGGGGACCAACTCTCTAATTCTGCAAAACACTAGCTCACTGCAGGTTTTGTTTCATCTGGTGAGCAGGCTAACTGCATTAGGTTTTCATGTATAATGCAATACTTGTCAGTTTCGAATTATCCACAAAGGCATCTCTCTCTATCGACAAAAAGCCCTAATATGCTTTGCAATATTAAATAACCCAATTCAATCCAAACTACGTGTGAATTTTTTTGACGTAATGAATAAATTCTTAAACGACAGTAGTAAAATCATTTAAATTTTTGTTCTGTAGTAGAATTGCAGGCTTATTATCAAGCAGAAAAATAAAATAATTACTGAGCCTCTTTGCAGGCACTGACCATTTGGAACCATTTCTTTGTTACCAGGCTAAGAAAGAATCTAAGTGCTTTTGTAGTTGTTACGAGTTTGGAATATCATGTCTGTAAATAACATGTATTAATGTCTTTATGTTAAATATAGTATAAGTTTTATACAAAATCTTTTCTGAAGAACTTAAAATATATAATTAAATTTGGAAATTTCTCAATGCACCTTTAATGACTAATGCCAAACAAAACATACATATACTTGAAATTAAAGACATCTGGTGCCCTTCAGTGATTTCAGTAGAACTTTGATGTGATCTGTGGTAATTCAATATTTTCAAGAAATGTCAAACTGAATGTTCTCCAATTTGATTTGTCAAAATATTTAATAAATTTAACTTCTTTCGAAGCATTTTTGCACTTTTTCGTAATATTATTCTCAAACCAATACAAAATATTAAGTATATATATATATATATATATCTTTATATATACGGTAGTGTAATAAGTAAATGCAAAATATTTTGAACTCGGTTCATTTTTCAATGGGGGGGGGAGGATTTATCTATCACTGCAAACAGTTATTCTGTTTCTGTTGTTTGTATTTTAAAATGTACTTAATGGAATATTTCCATTTATATTAGAAATGCTGTGCATAGTTGAATTTGAAATAAAGCAGAACCTGTATTCTTTATTTGAAGATTCAAAATGTTTGTTTTCTTTAAGAAATTGAAATATGATGTCTGTAAAACATTGTTTAACGTAACTGGAAACCAGAATTCATGTGCAGTTGATAGCATTTTAGCTACTTTTTCCATGCACTATTCGATTCTGTTTAGTTGATGATGGCAAAACACACTAGGGCTATCTGCCTAAGGGAAGGGATGCCTTCGTGGAGGACATTCTAAGGAAAACTAGCTCATGTACACATTAATGCATCCAGCCCGTTCTACTGAAATCAAGCCCACGTCGGAAGTACCAGTGTTCAGCGTTTTTTTTTTTTTTTTTTTTTTTTTTTTTGAACCACTTGGCTGCTGGTAAGCTTGTGCATGTTAGGAATATTTCTTCGAGCACATTATGGGAACTTGAAATTTTAGGAAAAGCTGATTTGTTTCAAACTCTTACAAACAAAGGTAGCTTAACTGATATTGAAGAAAAAATTATAGTTCTTGCCAATCAAAATTACGAACTAGAGCTGCCATGTAAATGTGATTCTACACATTTATCTGATAATCAAGATCTAACCTGGGAAGGTGTGAAAAAGTGATTTTAAGTTAAAATGTGATTAACTTTTATATGGCTATCAAAAACGTTTTCCAGGAATGGGAAAAAATTAGTATCACTGAACGCGTACCGAAAATTGAATTGAATTACGAATGTAAGCATTTGCCTTGCAAACTAGTGATTAAATTAGGTAGTAAAAGAAAAAAAAATCTGAAAGCTTTCAGATTTTACATTACACCCAAGGGGGCATTTTTTTAACATTTTGGGTGTTACCCTTATTTATTAAATATCATGTTCTTTGCACTTAAACCGTAAAATTCAGTTCAACCATAATAACACAAAATAATTTTAAAATAAGCGTATATTTAAAATTTCTGATACAGTCTCACACACTGGAGATTTTTTTTACTGTACAGTGTTGCCATTGCTTGCTTTGAAATCGTTGACTGTGTTAATCAAAAATTCGTTAAAGTTTTACAATATATGGAATAGATAATAAAACAAATTCCAAATTTGGGCCCATATTCGAGTGGAAACCTTCGTTATTCTAAATTTGAAGGTTCTAGGTACTGTTGTTTTATCACAATGCGAGAAACATGTATACATTTTTGCTGTATTCTTCTTTATTTAATTTCTCTAAGTAA